AAGAGTTGTTGCAGTTGACAGAGTCGACGAGTCCAACCTCGTGGAACACAAAATTCCAGGAATTAGTACGTTGAACAATTACGAGTTCCGTAACGGAAAGCTTTTCGCGTGGAGAGCGTATGGCATTGGCAGTGGCAAAGTAGTAATGAAACAATTGAGGAAAGGTAATAAAATAGTTTAGATTTACACTTATAGCATAAGGTGTGCGATTTATTTCTCGTTCTTTTACAATTTATAGATTACAGTTACCAGTGGCTCGACGCGCAATTCTCCCCAGGAGACTTTAGAACAATGGCTGTGAGAACTGCTAAGACGACCAAGCCTACAACGACTGAAGAAAGCACTTCTGACCCACAACAAGAAGCAGCAAGCAACCTGTATTCGTGTCCAGAGGATGGCTGCGTWAAAGTCTTCCAAAGGTTTGTTATAAGGAATTGCTTCACGGTTTATTCATTTTACCCGTCAACTTATGGTGCATAATTATCTCTTCATGACAGGTACTCTAATCTTGAGCGTTACCTATCCCTGGAAAAGTGCGAGAAAATGGTTGAAAGGCAGTCTTTGTTAGATTTAGCAAAGACAAAGTACGCATTACGTTTAGAAGAGGGAGTTGGAGTCATCCCAACGCTTACGSCTACCTTGTCTGATAAGGAGGATGCTAATCACCCCGTACTTGAAGAGGGATGGTCGCTGAAGAAAGCAACCAAATCTTATCGATTTAACGAGAAGCAAAGGTCTTTTCTCCTTTCAAAGTTCAAAGTCGGTGTGTCTTCTGGACATAAGGTCAGTGCAGAAGCGGTGTCAAAAGAAATGAGGAAATGTGTKGGAACAGACGGAAAGAGGATGTTTAGAGTATCAGAATTCTTGACCGCACAGCAAATTAAGGCGTTTTTCTCCAGACAAGCAGCRAAGCAAAAGAGTTCCTCAGAGGCTGATATTCTTGCTGCTCAAGAGGAGACCAACTTCAGCAACGCCCAACAAGTCATACTGTCATCTTTTCAAATTGGGCATCCCATTGCGTACGAGCAGTACGACGTATGCGCGATGATGAAGGACGATTCTCTACATAAATTAAAGCTACCGGTTCTGAAATTAATTTGCAACAACTTTGACTTGCACCTCACTGATCCAAAGGACAGCCGAAAGAAAGCGCCCTATGTTGCCCTTTTGAAAGAAATGGTAGCAACCTGCCAGTGTTCTACTTCATAAACATTGAAGATTCTCCCTAACCCCAAACCTTCCGCCCCCTCCAACACCCCCACCGGTTTTCTTTGTTATTACTGTTAGCCACGGTTGTTTTTCGCTAAATTGATCGTGAATATTAACTCTGTCACAATAATATAGGAATTCGAAGATTAGCTAAACAAATAACACATCTACTAATCGGGACGGATATTAAGGAACWGATTACAAACAGCTAACAAACGGCTAAACAAAGGTCAGTAGCCGTACTGACTAAATTTACAATTAATTTAAAATTTGTTTGAAAATATTAGTAATCGCATTTGGCCTTTATTATTGATAAATGCAGTATGTATCATGTTCATATAATTTTGAATTTCAATTTCGTAAATAAAGACAATATTGTTAGGTTGGTTGAAGACAGCAGCGGCATTTATCAAGTAACGGCTGTCACGTATTATTGCCGTTAATATCGATTAAAATCGTTCATTTGTTTCAAATTACAAATATGCAGAGTTAAATACATCGCTGTATTCAGTTCAGTTTTATTTCAATATTTCCTCTTTTGAATTGGTTTTGTGCAAAATTATCATATTAGGCCTTTGTTGTTATTGGATTGCGTTACTGTAGGAATGTAACTTGTAGTCCATTGTTGCAGGTCAGTACCTAGATTCTCGAATATTATCATCTTAATATTATAAAACGTATACCTCTGCTGTCGAATAACAAGCAAAAATTAATACGACAGTCATCTATAAGCACAGAACATTTTTTTAGAAGCCGCTAAGGCCTATCATCTCGGTAACGCTCAAGTGCGAGATTGTGTTACAATAGGTCAAAGTAGTGCTTAGAACTCTTTCTCTAGAAGTAAGGCTTTTAGCGGGCCAAGTTAGAAATTTTGTGGTGACTAACTATGATAGTTGGGCTTCAAGGGAAAATTATTTTTTCTGTAAAACTGTATAGCGCATGGGAGAATTATTGCATTGAATTTGCCCTTAATTCAATGTTTTCTCTAGCGGCTCCGAACTGCCCTCAGCATAGTAAGAAAATAAAAATTATTAAAACGTCTTTATAGCTCAAATTATATGTGTTGATAGCTTAAACATAGGTAAATCAGTTGTGGGATTTTCAGTTTCCAACGGCCTTTCGTCAGGTCGTGAGCGATCATCAAAAATGCTTCATTTTCCACCCATTTGCAAGGCCGCCAGACGCCGTCGTACGGGAATTTCAACTTTTCTCAATTTCGCCAAAAATAAAAATCGGCCAAACTTTTTAATGCTATTTTCGACAGTTGTCCGACCATTCTCGATTTTTACAGACAGTCGCTCTTAATATATTATTTTGAGAAAACAAAGGAGAAGTATGTGCATCAAAGCTAGAGTTGGTAATGATTCTTACTATGCGTTTCTGTAATATTTTCAATCGACATAGATTGGTTCGATAAGACTATGCGTTTCTGTAATATTTTCAATCGACATAGATTGGTTCGATAAGCAGAACCCCAGGTAATATTGAAACAGTATAGATAAGAGTATACTAAGGCATAGTAAAGCATAAAAAAGATAATTGTTTGTTCATTTGTTTGTTTGGCTCAGAGATATGGATCCACAACTAAGTAAATCACGTTTTGCTTATGAGGCACGTGTGAGAGACATTCTAACCTCAAAGGTTACAGCGAAAAAACGAGGTGACTTGGAACGTGTTAAAAGGGTAGGTATATAACGATTCTTTCTTTGTAAAGAAATATGAGGTGTAATTAAGGAGATAAACCATTAATTAGTTAGGCTGTACTAATTTTGAATGAATCGCCTTTTTCAGGGGCGGATCCAAGGGAGGGATGCGGCACCTTCCTTTGTGCCCTTCGGTTTTGGTGTGCACCCCCAGACGACTTTGTGCACCTAGTTTGTGCCCTCTTGTGCTCTTCAGTCGATATATGAAGTTCTACTGGATGCGTTTTTTTATAGATATGTGTTTGAAGAAAAGCAAATCTTCATTTTTTGATATTTTGCCCAGCAAAACATTAGAATGACATTATCACGATGACCGCGCGCGCTTTAAATTCATGCGCAGAAATGATGCGCGCAAACAATGCCCGCAAACGTCCTGAAATATTCTTCATACTTATTTGTTTATTTAATTATAACAATCTATATTTGTTTTGGGTTCTTTTTTTCTAGTGCGAAGATAAGCTAGTGCTAATCAAAGGGGAATGGAAAGCGTTTCAAGAGCAATTTAAGGAAAATGCTCGGGTTGAGAGAGCTGAGGATGGTGAATACGACGACAGTGGTGACCAAGATGAAGAGAAAGATGAAGAAGAGTGCGAATGTGAAAGCGACGAAGAAGATGAATATAGAAATGAAGAGGAATGGGACAGTGGAAAAGACGAGGAAAGCTACAGCGACAAGGAACATAAACTTGAAAACCAAAAAAGGAAAGAAGAAGAAGAAAAAGAAGACTGTAGTAACAAGGAAAAGAAGATGAAAACAGAAGGCAGCCGCTTAAAAAAGCAATGTCCACATCCAGGATGCAAGGCATCAGTTATACACATTCCAAGACATCTCGGAAGTGTGCATAAGTGGGAGAAAGAAAAAGCACGGTAATCTGCTAACAGATATGGTCTTTGTAAGAAGTATACTTATAAAGAAAAACTCCTTCAAACAAACCCAAAAGCTGTCGGCAACAAACAAGAGAATCGTAAGGACTACCATTCCAGAAGACTATGTCCGAATGCTGGATGTATGTCAATAGTCCTTCGTCTTCCTCAGCACTTGAAAAACGTACACAAAGTAAACAGTAAATCAAAAGAGTATTCTGAGATGSTACGTACTGCCATTAAAAACCCCAAATGTGTCCTTGTTAGTAGCATATGTAAAAAGAATTATCGTCAGCAATTTTTGCTACCTCTTTACAGGATGCCTGTTTTACCCTTCTCTAATAATATTGGTCCTTATAACGAACCAAAGCCACCAAGAAACAAATTCGATGCCATAGCACTTCAGCATGATTACGATTATGGTGATGCGAGAAGCCAGAAGGATATCGACGAGGCAGACGATAGATTTTTACAAGACTATTTCGACGCCGAAGCCGAAGGTCCTATAGAGATGTTTCACAAGACGGCTGGGCTGTCAGGGATAGAAATAAAGAGAGTGGCTTCTAAGATGGGACTCTCTCCACATTCCTTTTCCGAAGAGAAAGGTAATAGGAAAATATTAAGGGTGGGTAGCGGGAATTTGTAAAGTTACAATGAAAGGGAGTGAATATACCGTACTTAGTTCGGAAGGGTTGACACCTTCCTGAAGAATCATAGGTTGATTTGTAGGCGGTAAAAAATCCCTGCACACAAAAATCTGTCTTATGGATTTTGCACTCATTTTGGATACATCGCAATAAGTTTTTTCATATTCGAATTTGGAGGCCGTGTTTAGAAGCTTCTTAACTGCACTCACTACTCCCTGGTACGTGAGAAAATCAGTGTGAATACCATATTTATTCTTGAAATCAGAAAAACTTAAAAATCTGTTTTCAGCATCTAAAAGATCCTCTGTAATCCTGATACCTTGGTTAAACCATGATTTATAAAATACTGATGAATCACCGACCTTAATTAATTTGTTGTTCCAAATACTTTTTTCTAGAATACTTTTCTTTGAGGAAGATTTTGAGTTGAAATCTTGAAGATATCTCAGAAGATCGGTATACCGATATATCTCATAGAAGGGCGGTATACCGGTTATGTTTAGCATCTTTACATCAAAATCGCACGTGAACAAGAAAATTCCTCCATATCTAATAAGAGTTTCATGTGGTATTACTTTCCATTCCGCTTCTCTTCCATCTAATAACCATTTGACCGAAGCAAGTTTGAGGGCTTTATCCATATGATTAAAAGATACCATATTCAACCCTCCCTCCTCTCTAGCGCCAATTATAGTTCTTTTCTTTATTTTGGCTGGTTTGTCTTTCCAAATGAAATTAAACGTGATCTTATCTACTTCCGTAGCAAAGTTA